CGTTGTTATTAAAAATTCTTTTTATTTCGAAACGGTATTAAATAATAATGTTAATGACAAGAGCTGCTAAGTTGATATTTGGCTTGAAACTGTCGTTTAGCAGCAATAACATAATACGGGCACTGCGCGCGTATGTTGATCAGTTTTTTTTTTTTCAATGGACATAAACTTGTTTTTTTTTTTTTTTGCTTTAACTACATTATTACACTGACCTGTTATGCAGCTATTACATACGTACACTCGTGTGTATGCATAATATGTATGTATGCACGTGTATGTGCCTAGCGTGCTAACAAATTTCCATTACAATCGCTGTTCATATTGCCTACATCGTCCTACAATTGACAACAAATATTTAATCTATAATTTGACATTAACTACCTATGCAAGGCATCGATGACAATATATTTTGTTTCGTTACTTTTTCCTTCTATACTATAACTATGTGGGGGCCCCCAAAATTACTGATAGTGTGAGTAACGATTATCAAATTCCAGGATTACGTTAACTTTGTCGCAACTTATTTAAACATACGCTGAAAGTTTCCCCGTGAAGCTCTGATTAATACAAAATACATATAAAATTGTAAATAGCCGCGATAAAAATGAAAAACTCATAGAAAAATGTAACATTGTAAGATACAAAATACGTCCATCGTTGTTTGACATATGTTTAATTTTTTGTCCATATAAATCTACATATGTAACTCGATCCTTTTTTTCACTTTTCTTTCTCTCTCTCTTTTTTTTTTTTTTTTTTTTGGTTATTTTAACGCTTTTTAATCGCTTCTCTCTTCTGCTACGCTCGAAACTTTATTATGTAAACGTTCTTATAAGCGTGCAGATAGGGGCCCTCGCTAAATCAGTGGTCGATGGTGTCAACAAATTCACTAATATTGGATTACATGTGTATCTTACAAAGCACCACGATCTAAAGCTATACAATACATATAGGGTGTTGTTTACTTAACACGAAACTACAAACGGAGAATCGGACGTACAACTCTTGCACTTTATGTTTCACACGGTCGTTTGCTTATGCATACAAGAAATTTTTATTTTAAAGATAAATACTGACGATTAGCAGTGAATAACGATCAACCTTGAAAAAAAAAAAAAGTTCACGCAGTTTGTCGTGGCAATTATGGTAATGTTTAAGCGCATTGCTGAACACCCTATATATTTTGTCTAGTTGTCACTTACACAATAATAAGCATACAATTTTAGTTGAAATTTGATTTAAACAACGTAAAATTAGAAATCTCTTACAGAATCAATATAACATTAAGTTCAATAAAATTTAGATATTAACGAATCTGTATTTGTTATTCTTCGAATATTATTTAAACATCGTTGCAGGTTGCTTTCCTTTCAGATGATAATCTAACATGACAATACAGGTGTAAAGTTGCTTGAAAATTTTTACACGTGATTATATTGATCCCAAAACTGATTTTTAACTTCTACGCTTATGTATAAACTTAGTATAGTCACAGCGACGTTTTATAAATTTATAGACATAAAGAACGACTATTTTTTAGGAACGCAAGAGGATCATTCGAAGGAAACGTTATTATAATTATGAATTGAACATATTTTTATAATACAATTGAAAAGAAAGTCGATGTGAGAAAATAAAAAAATACACGCGGTCCGTGAGAATTAATGAAATTTTTCCTGATCAATCTATACACGATCAAACTTCCTTTTCCACTTTGATCCTCGATATGAATATGTAATTTTAATCAACGAGATTTCGTCTCATTTTTCACAAATTTAGATTACGAACATTTTTGATGTCTTTCGTGTAACATTTGTTGGCAGCATTTACATTAAACGTATAAAAAAGTTATAAAAATTACTGTTTTCAACAAATATTAATGTAGCACCGTTTAAATGGGCCGCGTGGAATACGTGTGAAGTAGCGTGAGATGAGTGAGAGTAAACGCAAAAATATTGGCGGAAAACGCCAATAGTAGTCGGTCCAGGAGCAGTGAGTTCGAGTAATTGAGAAATATACACTAAAATCAAACGCATCCTCACTCACCACCCCTCTAACAATTAATACAACATTAATTACAGACGAAAGTCATAATAAAAATAAAGAGTAGATTGTTGAATAAACAAACTTTCAGAAATTTCATGTTATACATGATGTAATGAATGCATAAGATTGTACTCTGTGCGGATGAGAAGAGAAAATATATCGTTAGATACTCGGTCAAGACATTAGGTATAATCTATGCCGTAAAAACTCAGAAGAGCATATGAAGATGTATTTGTTAACTGCCTTGACATACTGGCATGCGTACCCTTTTTGGCAATCTGGACGCTACACCAACTATTGTAGGGGTCAATTGAATTGGCCGGTCGAGGACTTTGAAGGGTGAACAGATTATGCAGTTCGATAGCTCGCAGCCGTTACAATTTTCTAACACTCCGCACTAAGCTATATTCATGGCACGCGCATATAGACACACACACACACACACACACACACACAAATTATATTTTAACGTATTGTTTCAAATATCTGTATCGTCCTAAGAGAAAAGACGAGAAGAGCGTATTGCCACAAGGAAAAAAAAAATATTACGTTACAGTAATAGATACGTCCAAAGGTTCAGAAGTGTGCACCTATAAGCCTATAGCGTCGATCCGTCAAACTACTACATATGCAAGCCTCGTTTAGTAAAGCTTGTAAACACCCAATAGCGCTAGCGGAGAAGTAACTTTGACCAGCCAATTCGTATAGCTCCTAGAATAGCAAAGGAAGAGGCAATAAGATAGACCCGAAAGGTCGAAATTATTCATAAAGAAGACATATGGATTACATCTTAACAAAAGTAGTTACTGTGCAAGACACTATAAGATTAAAAGAAGAACTCGTTGGGATTTGCAAAGCAAAGATTGATTCGAGTATGATTTGTATGGCAGCAGATTTGAGTATTCGGACCTGGAATGAAAGACCAACACTTTGGAAATGGACAGACAAAGATTTAACTTCCCTACAAAAATTGTAGAATGCTGTTCAACCTGCAATTACTCTTTCTTTATTGACATGTCGGAAAGCCTGTAAACGAAGAAATTTTAATCAACCAGGGACCTTCGAACTGAAACACCATTTTCCTCTTCCTAGTAGCTGAAAACTGCTATAGTTTCATAGGGCATTTGTTGAAGCAAGTAACAATAGTAAAAAAAGCGTCTTACAGGATTAGTCCAAGCGTGGAGAGAAATCTTTTCAGATGCCGTTAAAGAAGCGTTGAAAGCAAGTTGTATCTTATCATTGTTGTGTACTGGTCTGGTCAGTATTGAATTGGTTGGAAAGGGCCTGTGCCAGTCTAAACATCGTTAAAAGAACTCGTTTTAAATATCTTTGTTTTGAACAGCATGGAAAATTCCTAGTGGAGCGCGGGAAACTTATCATTATACGTCCTTCGGTATTCCGGAAATGACATGGATTTTTTGTCGATTATTTTCCGACGAAGCTCTGGCAGATTGGAGTCTATTGACTTATTCATTACACACTGGGATATTTGTCGCTTGTACCGGAGATAATGATAACCTGTCTCATCCGGCATGGAGCGCACGACATTGGCTTCCGTTAATCCAAGCGACGAAAGTTCAGGCAGCATAAAGTAGACTCAAGCTATTCCAAGTAAAATTGTTGTTTCAAATTTACAAGGGGCCTTTTCATATAAAGCTAAAAAAAAAAAGCATTAAAGCAATCGATCTCAAACCTTGAGCATCTTTATTTTCAAACCTAGTATAGCAAGTATCATTCACTTGAAAAGATACCGCCTATGTGAAAAGGGTTAGAATGCATTTCGGTTATTTATCGTTTTTCTTCCCGATTATAATACATAGGTAATATACAAATTACCACATAATCTTTATTTTATTTACACAATTTGCTTATCGATTAAAAAGGATTTTTTCATTTTTTTTTTTTCGTGTAGATTAACGAAATGATAACAGTACATATGTATGTAGTCTAGTCTAACATATACAAATAACAAAAATCGTAATGCGTGAACTTAATACAAGTTGGAAATGATATATTTTTACAAAATATAAAGAGGATTTTTATGTATTATGCGGTAAAAAAGGTATCGATGATTATCGAAAGGTTATATCTGTCTTTGTCTGCCATATATTCGTGAAATAGTATCGGGCTCATGATGACGAAAACTAGGAAAATAATAAAATGAAACATATTTCGCCATTAAGTAGCGAGAATACAATCAAAAGATTACGACGTAGACCAAAATATTTTACACACGCACAGATTTGAGCATCTATGTTAATTTAAGAATAATTTTCTTCTTCGTATAATTGTATCATTTTGCAATTACCGTTGCATTTTTTTTATTTTTCTCTAACATCGTTTTATCGTTTCAACACTTCTGAATTGATTAGCAACACAAATTTGCCAGAAATATTAAATTACTCACAATTGTAACAGCGATGTAGTCCGTCAGTCTTTCTCTCATTTCAATATCTGTCATGGTTCATTTCTTTATATTCGATCTAATATGTACGCATACTGGTGTCTGTGGTGGTTTAAAACACTCATGAGACTAAAGGTATAATAACCGCGTGTTGTTTATTTTCAATGAAGTAACCTTTTTAATACCGAAATAAATCAATGTTGTAGAGTAAGAGGAAAGGAACATATTGGTCCTCTTTTGATATCGCATCTATATACACTTATTTGTATTTAAACAATTCTATCTTTTAGGTTAGTACTATTGCAGTTACTACTCAATACTAAAGAATATACCTTGCTACTTTATACATTTCAAAGTGAAGAATGCCTATAGTCATTGAAGTGTTTTCTTAATTTATATTATTGTTTAGCAATTGGACGATTGTAATTACAAATATTTTATTTAGAATCGTGTATTCGGTAAATTACAGATTTTGAAATATCAAATATACAAACTATAATTCTGAAAAAGGTTATAACACCTCCCACAGACACTGATGATAGAACAATTTTCTTTTCTACCTTTTAATCAGTACTTTCGCTTCTTTTTTAAATAATTTTTTCTAATTCCATGTTAAATAATGATTCATGTAAAAGTGAACGTAATCGCATGACATCGGAGTAAATTCTTCTAACAATGTGCTGTATGTAATCAAGCAATATCAGTGTACAGCGTTATAACTACTGCTTCCTTTATGTTTTATAGAAGTTATTTTATTTTATTACAAATTATAATGATTTTTCTTTATTCACACGCAATCCATGTTAAATTCGTACCTTTTTTTTTTTTTAACGAAGTTGATCAAGTGAAAATATCACAAATAAATTTGTAACAATTGCATAAGGGAAAAAAGACACTTTTACGTTTATAATTTTTTTTTAAATTTCTTCTTAAATGAAACATTTTTGCACAGCAAAATATGTTTTGTGTATTGCAATTCTATTAACAGTATCAAACAGACTTAATCACTCGGATGATTTAATACAGTGGTGGTGAACATGATCGAATTTGAAATAAAAATAATGTCATTGGCGCATATACCTACTATTATTGCTCCAAAACTACAGCACTGATAAATGGGTCCAAAATGTTGATCATTGTGTACAACTTTTCTTCATCACAGGGTATAGTAAATTTAAGTATACCACCCTAAAATAAGTTGTATTTATTCGCTCCACCCCAAACTAGCAGAGTATCGAATTACTTAAGATAGAATACGGAAATTAGTGTAGAACCGTCGAAAGATATTAATAATACTAAGGTTACGTGTTTCTGCATATTATTTCATTTAAACTTTTATAATTTTTATAAAAATAACAATAATTTACTTACGATGCTACTTAACGGCGAGCGTCTGTTTAAGATGGCGCATGAGGTGGCTGCCGACATCGTGAATCTCAGGCCATTGTCTGAGCACAAACACTATGCCCAATACAACAAGCGTAGTAGTTAATATGCGCACCCTGCACATGAAAGAATGAGGCTTAGTACAGCTGCAACAGAGACGTGAAAACAAAATAAAACAATGAGTGTGCGAAATTAAAATCAGATGGCGATGTACGCGATGAAGAAGTATGAATTGAGATGTATGTGAATAAAAGAAAGCGAAAAGCAGTAACGTGAACGCAAACATGTGTTGATAAAAAACATGAATTATTATTTTGTAGGAAATGATAATTATCTGTTTGCTATGAATTGAAAATAAATAAATAAATTATGTATTTTGAAGTAAAATAGATTACTTTCATGAAGCTTTTATGATTAAGCTAAAATATATGGTTTTATGTTTACATAAATTATAAATATCATTTTTCAAGTTTTAATATTTCCTGGAAAAATAAAAACCGAAAAATTTACAATAACAAATAACTATACCTGGTCCTAAGGAAAGGCATCATTATACCAGCACCTGTTGCAACAAGAAGTAGAATAACTTGCAACACTATTAATACTATATTTATGAGTTTTACAACCACTGCCCTAGCGTTGCTATTATCCAGACCCTCCAAAGTGACGTATTGTTGGTGTTGTTGTTGTTGATGTTCCATTTTACAAATTTTAGTTTGGCAACTTTCCAACATTTCGTGTATGTCTCTTAATCGATCTTCACTTTGATATTGCACTTTCTCTTCCATGTCCGTTATAGTTTGTTTTAAATTTTCTACCTCGTTCTGATGGAGTTCAGTTAGATCGTTAATTTGTTCTTCCAGACGTTCGCATCTGAAACGTTCCTCTTGCAAAGCATGTGAAAGATATGTTACTTCTTGTTGCAAACCCTAAAATTATTTACGGATGAAATGGTAGTGATGTAATAATAACGTAAATAAATTTATTAGTTTTTTGGCTCTCTTTTTTTTTAATTTTACAAATCGTCAGAAACAAACCTTCAAACCATCTAATTTGTCTTGCGTCATCCCCAAATTTTCTCTAAGTTCTAGTAATTCCGAGAAAATAGATTTGAGAGTCAGTGAAGCATTGTTACTAGTATGACACGTTTGTGTATGTCCTCTACTACCAGGTCCACTTTCACTTGTAACACTAGAGCATTCTGATCCTTCTTCGGAGGGAAATTTCATCGCCGCCCCACTGTGAGTTGATCCTAAACTACATCCACCGGGAAGAGTAGCTGATCCATGGTGTGTTTTTTCATCTTCAACACTAGCGTTATCTCCATTACCTGCACGCGGTGTATCGTTTACATAAAAAGTCGAGCCATCTGCAGGGACACAGACGTCGCAAGTTAGAATGTTATCCAATACCAGATTATTCCGCCTTTGTTAACAATTAAACTGTTTACTTAGTGTTGCATATTAAAATACTCCTGTCTTTTTAATATGTTTATTGACAGTTTTAAAACAGGAAATGCTTTTGAAAATACGAAAACATGTATGAAACTTCATAATCAGTGTTATGAAATGCTTCGTAAATTTAATGTAAAAATTCCTTCTTCTTTATTATCTGTTTTTTAATGTTGTTATATCCTCGTATTAGTTTGAATACTCTCTGTTAATGTATTGGATAACTAATGTTAAAAGAAGCAAACATCTGGTTTTTGTGAACCAATAAATAAAGATTACAATGCAAAATTATTAAGTGACACAAAACTGTAATAAAAATATGAAGCTTACAGTATGTAAAGACAACATTCTCATATAAAAATTATTCACGAGTGAAATGTGTACATACACATAGAACTTGGATTCCTTATAATATGCAATAACAAAGTAATAGTGTTAAAAATTTACATCATAAAAGATTAAAACATATATGACACATATACATTAAAAATGAGATACTTATTAGATATACAGGAAAAGGAACATATAATAAGAAAATTATGAAAAAATTAGCAAAAATATTACTTACTACTTTCAACTGCCATGATAGCGCAAAATATTAAAGAATATTTATTTTTAAATTTGTAAATAAATGGAAAACGATTGTACTATTACTATAATACATTTTTCATCCTTATGTACATTTCAATTTTATTTTAAATAAATATAACGATAATCTTTTTAAAATAATAAACATATTATTGGCTAAGATAAAATTTCAATGATTCTGACAGTGTATTTACATAATGTATATTGTAAATAAAAAAAAAGGTGCATGCTATTGCTTGTAACAACAGAGTTTATTAGCAGAAAGCAGTATGTGCTTGGTGATAGTGCTGTTTGACACAAAGTTTTAACTAGTATTTTTTATAGTAAATATTCGCAAATTGAATAATAATTAATATTTGAATAATACTGTAATAATTAATTTAAAAAACAATTTATAATAAAAAATTACTCACGGGATAAGGTATTTATATTATCAGCACTGCCAAATTTGTTTTTTATTAAATGTGCAAATTCCCTTGGTTTGGACATTACACTTCTAGAACATATAGGAAAAGTAGTTTACATGATATTAACAGCATTACAAGATTATAAAAGTATAAATACAATACTAAAGTACTACTATTTGTAGGTATATAAATCCAGTAATTTAATATAACATACACAATACAACAGCTACTGCAATCTATTTTCATATCAACACTCACCCTGAAAAACCAGTGATTCCAACCCTGATATTGCCACCCACGTTTCTGGAAGTGAGTCTTAAATTAGATGAAAGTATCACACTCTATATTTAGCAGCATAAAAGGTAAATTAAAAAAAAAAAAAAAGAAAAGAATATAAAAATATTATACCACAGTAATAAGTTCTCATACTTGAAATCAGTATAGTGTAAAATTGAAAAGAACTTTAAAATACTAAGTACAATATGTTACTAATACATTTAATGAAAATAATTGATAAATAATATAAAATAGTTACTTAAGTCCTTGTCCCATGTCTCGAAGTACTTCTCTGGGTTGTCTATGACTTGTAGGTGCACCATTTAGTTCATAATTTTTTAATTTTTTTGTATAACTATCCAATTTCTTTTGGAGTTGAGAAATACTGTGTGCTGATTTTTGATTTTTCTTTTCAAATACTGCTTTGATTCGGGTAAGCTGCTGCTTGTCTGCATTAGCAGCTAGTTTTAAATATTCATTAACATTTTCTGAAAGGAAACAGTATTGAGATTTATATTTATAATATGATATTCATTACTATTCTAGCTTAAACAGTTGTCTTAACACTTCAGTGTGTGAGGAATATCAACACTATACTAATTAACTGTTAATTGCTGAAAATTACCATCACGTGTAGTTTGTTCTATTCTTATGAGTTCTCGTGTTTTAGCAATTTTATTTTGGATGTGCTCAATAATTTGACAAACCCGAGCAGAATTAGAGTCAACTTCATCAGTTATTAATTCAGAGGAGCCATTTGATAGGAACGATTGTGTTGCATGATATTGTTCCTATAAATACATTTACTATTATATTAAAATATACAGACCTAATTAATACATGAAACACGTAACTTTAAAAAGCGGAAAACAAATTACAACTAACAAAGCACATATTCATGAGCACAGTGCTCGAAAACTTATACTTTAAGATTGTATTCTGAATTCATGAAGATTAAGATCTCTAGCTTCAAAGCCACTTACAGCATTATGCAAATAACTACTTTATTTCTTAACCTATAACCCTGATTATACAGTTGTGGTTGATGACCTTGTAGTACAGTGTAATTGTCACAGCATACACAACAGTTTCACATTATATAAGTAACTTTATGTAAGAATATACAATCATATTTTCTATGGTAATAGATATTTGAAAGGATAATGTTATCAACATAACAAATTAATATTTTAACAATAATTTTAAATTATAAAAATGTTTGTATTACTAGAACTGCAATTTAATTCACATAGAATTACTAGGAGCATGTTATTTACAAATGAAAAGTCAACAGTATATATAAATGTGCAAATTAAAAACTATGAAGCTTCTGAAATTCAAATTATTCTATTGTAAACCAATTACATACTCCTTCATCATCAGCTGGTAGGAGAACATTTGGCACAAACTCATCTTGTTCGGCAGTGATTAAATTGGTATTTGGTTCATCCATAGCATCTACTCGAGTTGCAGTTCCTGGTGATTTTTGCCTACTACCTTTGACATTGAGGCTGACTCCACCACCACTACTTCCACTGCCTGTATTATCCATCCCTGTTTGGGAACTGTGAAGCCAAATTTAATTTTGTACTGTGCTCCTTTTATTTATTTTTCATTTATTTTTTAGGAACATAATTTTTATATTTGTAAGTACAAATTATTGTATCATTAATTACATCATATTGAAGCATAAGCTTAATGTTTCAGTTTCATGTAAAATACTACAAAAAAATGAGAATTCTTAATCTCAGCCTATGCAAACACATATATACATCTACAAGAAATGAGATCTTACAGTGAAGCATTACGTGCTTTTGGAGTGTGATCCGAAGTAGTTGATAATTGTTGTTGAGGTGAGGTCAATGTATTTCCTCTGCTGGGTGATGTACTGCGTGAACTGTTCTTACTTGACGTGGTTACCATCAAATTAGCCATTCCTTTTTTCTGAAAAAATGATGACCTACCTACTTTTATTATACACATAGTCTGCAAACCAGTGTGCAGAGAATTACACTATAGCATTTTCTTTCCAATTGTGTTGCATTATTAATTCAGATATTATTATCATTTATATGAATGTAATGTGTACCCCTTATCATATCTTATCATAATACAAAGTTATTTTTCATCAAATATTATAAAAATTATTCATAAGATTTTTTTATAATGTGATTTAGCTGAAGGTAATATACAGAAAATAATTGTATTTAAAAATGTATTGGGATAAAAAAAATATAATATTTTTGATTTGTTTATTAAAATATACAACTAATAAAACGAAAAATAAATGAAAGAATATATTACTGAACAGTTCCATTTTACTTGACCCCTACATACCTATTTTGAGCTACAATTTTCTCTAAGAGTGATATTATCTAATCTAAATCTTGTGTGTACAATAGATTATATATGTTGCCCAAAAATAGTATATAGGATCTTTAGTTGAAATATTGCTAAAGTTCATCTTTTTACAATAATATACATTTAAAATTGATTGATATCATTACAGAGTTCAACTATATCACAGAGTAATTAACATTTGTAATAAAATTGGTGGCCTACTTCTGTGACAATAAATTTGTGCTAAATATAATTATATTTAAAAATTAGATACTGTTTACATGGGTACAACATGTTAATTTAATTGAACAATACTGTTAAAAAAATGTTTAATTTACATTGAATGGAATAACATTTAGTAATGTAGTTTACTGTAGTATTAAAAGAATGCCTGAGAAAGAATTAGTTACTTCTTTCACATTCTATCACCTTTAACCCAATCCTTTAACTGATGAATCATTGTGATTATCATAATTAGACCATCGGCATTGCTTTCGAAGTGTGACGAATATATTACGCGGAGGAAACAATGAAAATAACGTAAAATTTTATTTTACCTTTACGAAAGTTATTATAACATATTAATAATTTAAATGTAAAACGTGAATGATACATTGAAATTCACATCTGAAAATTTCAAAATACATTTTCTATACAAATATACACATTATTTAACGTTAAATCTATACTATTGTACAAGTAAATTTGATGTTAAGATTGTTCAAAATTTTCCATTTTTACTTAATTCCATAGGAATATATTCTTCGTTACACGAAATATTATCGTTAAGATATAAATGAAAAATTACAAATTTTGTTATGCTCGATAAAATAAAGAAAAAAAATTAATACGATACAAACAAAAAACATTTCGATTAAAAATGTTTTAAATAAATAACAAATTCCGCTATACTAGGGTTCTTATGTAAACTAAGAATTTCTAGCGGAATAACAATGTCACATCTCGTAGTTGTAAAATACGTGAAACGTAAAGAGTCTTTGTAAAATTTTCCATTGCAAGTCATTCGGTTTAATTGAAAAATTGGACGTTTAAGCAAACAAAAAAAAAATATAGCTGTAGCATGAAAAAATTTGAAATACGCATGTATGCGAATCGAGCGAGGATCAACGATATTTAGCAACTTGTGATATTACGTTACTATCGCGACTCATTTCTACGCATACAACATTGTCTACAGTTGTATAGGTTCGAAAGAGATATAGGAAGCGATTGTCCCACCCCTTTCACGTTGATACCGAGAAATGGGGTACGATTATCGAATAAAAACAAACGACCTGTCAAAATTCCGCGGTTCTTTGACATTCGATTTACCGAAATATTTCTCACTTACCCTTTTTACCGTCCGATGCACGCAGCTCTTGGCTGAAGCATGTTTTTAATCAACGTAATGTCACAGGAATGCACAAAGAGGGTCCTTCACGTACTGCTTTTTCTTTATCGTGTTTCTGGTCAATCAAAGGATAGCCGTTGTTATCGTTTTTCACGGGCGTGTCATCGCTCACCGTTCGACATCGTCGCACTGGCCACTGCAATATTAACAGACGGGATGCACTGTGTCGTTCTTAGGCACCTAATCGACGATAAACTCATTCAGAAATACCACGAAACGCACACACGATGCGACACATTCGGCGAAACCGCTTCGATACTTCACGACTCAACAGTGGAATACGCCAAACAGAACATAGAGCAACGAACATAAAGGAGGGGGTAAACACAACCGATATTACCACTTACACCGACTGATCTTTCGATTCCTAGGGATATTTCCTAGGGACGCGCGATTCGTCGGTATCGCAATACCGTATCTATCGCGTGTTATCACAACATTTACATAAGTGAACGAATTGTTTTTAGATATGACACAACACAATGAGATGAACTTTCTTCACAAAAATTACGAAATTGTTGAAACACAATATTTACGATAAATTTATTCGGCACGTGTGAAAAATTTCTATTTTAGTTCGAACTTTACTCAACGTTATTTGTCGAACGCAACGTGTTTCAAAAATGTGCATTTGACGGAAATGAAAGAAAGTATTTTACGTAATATCACATCACAATAACGTATCAATATTCAAAAATAAAAATAGCACAAGTTTCGTGTGTAATTATTCGAAAGATCGTTTAATTCGACAGTATTACGCCTAATATTAGTGCGTCACCGTGTGCTTCGAAACTTTTGTTTGGAAGTGAAAACTTTTTTGGCGGTATGCAACGCTTTGTGTCAAAATACATGAGAACTACAGAACACTTGTTACTGTGTATCGAATACGACACTGTCCTTGCGAATTACCGTACACTCGGATATCTTCGGCTAGATTCGGACTAAATGAGTACTGCGCAAAGAGAAAACGCATTTGACGAGAATCATGATTTATTTTGGATTTTGAACGCTTATTTTCAAATGATATATATTCAAACAATCGGGTTCAGCACTTTATTGGTATCTATATTTAACGCTGCGATGAATCTTTCGTCGTGATAGAGTAGAATAAAGATGGTTTATTAATAATACCGATAAAATTCTAATTAAACTTGTTCACTGACAGTCACTCAATTGCTTAAGCTTATTAACGAGCGAATTTCCGAAGGAATCTCTGTACTGCGGGCTAACGAAATCTAGCAAGCTGTAGGGTGTCTCAAAGTGGTCACTTCCTCTGTTCGACGTGTTGTCGTGCGCTTTACCAACAATGATAAAACCGGCGCTTGACAATTCGACGCAAAACTTCAATCCCTCCAACGTGGTCAGATTCAAATGAAAACGCTGATTGTTGTTTCGTAATTTCTCCGATATCTTAATGTCCCGTACATGATGCTTCACATCATCGATAACTGCTTGTGCCTCGAGCTTCCACTGTTCCTTGCTAAACACTTCATTATTGGCTTCTTCCTTCATTCTTGTGACTTGACAGCGTCAACAGGCGCCTTTTTTATCGACGCATGTAATATTCTAGGCGATTTGGCAACGTTACTGTACGTTTTGTCAACGTTTTAGCGATTCACATTAAACAATGCTCGCGATTTACGTGCTAAAGATGGCACGTGGACAGGTTAGAATCAGGGTCAAAGACCAAGATCAAATGATTACGTAATTGTCTGGCAAACTTATTTCCTTCTGAGAGGTGTACAATATCGTTCTTTGGTGACGACAGTCACTATGATCCGTGGTCAGTTTAGTCCTTGACACTGCACGGTTATAAATTATGCCGTACATTCAATCCCACGTACACATCGGTGCATGTGTACCAAATGTACTCCGTATACTGACTATAAATCCTATATATGCAATTTCTCGACTCTCGCCGCGCCATCTGTCCGCGTCGAGCGCTACTAAATTTGCCGCAACGTTGAACCAATAAGCGGGAAAACTTATTATGCCGTCGAACAAATACAATATTAATACAATAACGATATAAACGATCCTCTCGAGCTTGGTAGTTACATAAAGTTATTATCTTTCTGTTTACCCTTACACACAACCCTAACAAATCGTTAAAAAAAGGAAGCGATTATCTCATAATTGGAGAACTATTTATATCAACGATAAATTTTCCAAAATTTCTAACACGAGAAAATTAACTAGAAAATTACGAAACAGAAGAAGCTTGTATCCGTTTAACGTCCTCGTCCCGCAGTTATTCAATAGTTACCAAAGAAACGTGACGCGATCGTAATGAGACTCACGTACATCTATCAATTTCATCTATAGAATGCGACGTGTAATTGGGACAGCTTCTATACATCGCATCGTCAAGAGCAGACGAGAGATCTTCTTAACAGAATCACATACAACATTGTCCCTTTTCGTTTTCATTGGGAATAAAAGTAATAAAAAAAATTTGACAATTCTAAATAACTTGGGTATTAAAAATCGAAGATAGAGGAGCCTCGATCACGGATATAAATTCAAGCCAGCTAATATCTACCTCGTGAATTCGCGCAGCAATTGATCGTGCGATTGTTCAATGACGATCGAGCTCTCGATATCGTGACAAGAGAGCCTTACGAGGTTGCGACAGCTGCCTCGGCTACGTAGAGATGAAGACGGGCCAAGCTGAAACTGGGAGATGTGGGATCAGCTGCCGGAGCTGATATTGACGCAGATATTCAGTCACCTCGCTCGTGGGGACCGTGCCAATGTTGCACAAGTCTGTCAGTCATGGAATCGTGCACTTTCCTCGCCAATTCTTTGGCGTTCCGTTACGGTCTTCGTCGATCGTGATCTGCGTGGTGACTTCTCGCTCGCGGGAGAATTAGCCGTACGCAAAGCATTTATAATCGAGAGAAAAAGGAAAGAATGAAAACTGATATTCTTCCTCGAACTGCAAACACGATTCAATTGGCAAACGTTGACACACGGGGGGATTAAATTTAAACCGAATGCATGAATTCCCGGTGGTTTGCACTGGTCGGTATTTCCACTTATAGCGAACAAAGGCTCATTGTTGTCGGGTTAAACACAGACGGAGAGTGTCATTTCGATAAGATAAAATGAATGCAAAATTCGAAGAATGCGCGGTTGATAAGAATTACGTATTGTTTAGGCGAAATATGGACAGCATATGCGAAACTTGGAACTTGCTTGGTCACGACCGTACATCTTGCCAAGGGAGGCCCGTATTACTCGTAATGTTCAAGCTGAAGCAGGTGCCGACTTCCTTACGGTTGTACGAGCTAAAAACGTCCAGTTGAAGAAACTGATACTCACCGATTGGATCTTCAGCTGTAAATGGGGGAACAGAGGCAAACTGTTGTACGCGCTAGCGAGTTTTCTGGGGTAATTAGCTGTCTTACACCTGAAGACACTCGATAACTTTTATCTAGGAGTGGAATTTCGTATCGCAGAAACCTCTCGTGATAGAAAAATTCAATATTCTTCTTTCAAACGATTACATTAAAAAGAAAATAATAATTTCAACATTTACAAACCTTTTAGAAAAGGTAAATATTCTTCTTTCAGGCAATTACGTACAAAAAAAAAAACATAACTTAAACGCTTATAATCCTTTTGTGATAAAAAAAAAAAAAAATTAAATATCCTTCTTTCAAACGATTTACAAACCTTTTACGATAGAAAAATTAAATATCCTTTCAAATGATTACATACAAAAAAGAAAATAATTTATACACCTAGAAAAATTAAATAGTCTTCTGTTAAACGATTATACAAAAATTAACCCCTTAACCTATGATTTCTTTTCTGACTATGCATACAAGCGTCAGCCATTTAATGTTTCGGTACTGCATCAGGTAACAAAAGCTAAACTGTTACAGATTAATTATACTTAGGATTTCTTGCTAATATAACCATTTTTCTCACATCTTGACCAGATTCTCTGTCACGAGTCTGGCACGTTGTTGTATGTTAAAGGGTTAACAATTGAAAAATTCATAAACCATCTGCCGTGCAAAATTTAAATATTCTTTTCTATCTCTAAGAACATCCTTTCCTTACTTCCGCAAAAGAAGCCCGTTATTCCTGATTCGCGGCACAATCATACCATAGAAGTGCGGTAATTTCCCAAATCAATTCTCACGGACATAATCGACACCGTCTACTTCTACAGCTGTCAGCAGAACCTGGAAACGTTAAGCCTGCTTAACGCAAATCTCGGCGTGAGCGACGTGTTACGACTTCTCGCCAGTGCATCGAAAGGCTCGTCCGAGCATTTGGCGTATTTAGATCTTCGGGGTGCGTTTCGAGAATGGCAAGCGCCCCACAGTAATCCAAGGCACGTGAACCAGTTCCAGCTCTCTCTCCTCCTCGTATCGATCAACCACCCCCTGAGGTTTCACACAATTTTGCCTTTCTATCTAATGGAATTTTCAGATATCTCCGTTTGCTCGGACGATTTCGCGGGCTAACCGTCCTCAGGCTCGATTATCCGGCCTTGTCCGATCAAACGTTGAACGCTCTGACGAACGCAAGTTCGAGGGTGTTGAGAACTCTTCACGTATCGGTGAGAGACTCCGATTCCAGGCATCACACGATCGCTGACTCCGCCTGGCACAATTTGGTGCTCGTCTGCCCCGAGCTCACGGTGTCTTACACTATAGGTAACGATATAACACACAGGAGTGACGTAAAAGTAATCATTGATTTCCTCCATCTTCCGCGCCCACGATATTTCTCGAGTGATGTCGAGTGTGTGTACGTATGTATATATATGTACCTAGGTCGTTTGTCGCGGCTCTCTGTGTAATTTTGCGAATGACGCTGTTACGGTTGAAACAGCTTTAAAGGGGAAAAGTGCTCGAGAAATTCGATATCGAGATAGATGATTTTATTTTTGCGACACTCTTTGCCGACTACTCAGGCTACGCGAGCGTACTGATTGTATCTCGTTTATTTGCTTCGACAAGGCGGTTCTGATAAGACACGGAGATTAGATCGAATCGACGGATCGAGGAAAAGGGAGGAAGATTTTTACTTTGGTTTGCTTCTTTAGGTTTTTTTCATTTGTTCAACAATTGCAATCTTGTTAGATGATTAATCCGATACTAAGATAGTGCAACCTTGTTGAATAATAAATTGATACAATAGAAATTGTAACTTTCTTGAAAAGTAAATGGATTCGAAGGAAATGGCAATCTTGTTAAATGATAAATTGACCCAAACGGAAGCACTGTCAAATAATAAATACGATCGAAAGAAAATTGCAATTCTGTCAAACGACAAATTGACCCAAAAAGAAATTGTAACTTCCTTGAAAAATAAATCGGTTCAAAAGAAATTGCAACCTTGTTGAACAATAAATCGATACAATACGGAATTGCAATCTCCTAAAAAACTTAAATCGATTCAAAAGAAATTGCAACCTCCTTAAAAAGTAAACGGTTCCAAAAGAAATTGCAATCTCGCTAAACGACAAATTCACCCAAAAGAAATTGCAACTTTATCAAATAATAAACTGCTCGAAATGAAACTGCAACCTTGTCAAATAGCAAATATGATCCACAGGAAATTGCAATCTTGTTAAACGACAAATCGACCCGAAAAGAAGTTGCAACCTTGTCGAATGACACATTGATCCAATATGAAAATTGCAACCTTGAAACACAATCACGTTATAAGTATCGCGTTTTGTGTATTGAAAGTCGATGATTCTATGCACCATTTAGCTCGTTAAGTTTGATTTTCAGTTAACATCTCCCATTACGAAGATATGTGCTACTTGCTGCTGCCCAGTGTGCCATTGGCCAGGTTTCAAATGTTCAGCGGCCACGTGTGGGATCAGAGTAGATCTCGTAATTTCAGAAGCACCGTCGGACTGCTTATTACCCATTACACCAACACGCTCGGTATAATAAAGTCTTGCAAATCCTACACATCTCCTCTACTCTATCCACAGAATATTTCCTCACGCGGAACTTGCACGCTCTATTTCTCAACACGCTAACTACCGTAATAGACCTCTCCTCCGTACGCTGAATCTCGCATTTTGCTCACTTTTTCCTTTCAATTGCACAATCGTTGTATCACCGAGAGAAATGTCTTCCGGGTTGTTCGCGGGAATTATTGCCCGACGAATGTCGAAAATTCGTCAGTCGCAAGCTTTCAACGCCCCCTTTACCAAATTTTCAAATACGTGCTCGCAAATTTCACGTGTTACGAAATAAATGATTCCCAGTGGGTCGTTATTAAATTTTACATAAATCGAACGATCTCTATATTTTGAGATACTGAAAAGCGTTTTAGAAATTTCAGCGATCGTTGAACACACTTGGCCCGGGTATGAATACTTGACACACTTTTGGCGAACTTTCAGAACTCTTCTTTTTTTACAAACTTTATATATTACAAAATAAATCATTCGAGTGACTGCTGTTAAATTTTATGCAAATCGAATAATCTGTGTACTTTGAGATCACTTGCGAGTATGAATAATCGACACACTTTTGACAAATTTTCAAAACTCTTCCGTTTTACAAATTTTCCATAAAATAAAATAAATCATTCGAGCGATTATCGTGAAATTTCGCACAAACCGAATAGCCTGCATATTTTCTTGGAAATTTCAACGACGATCGAACACTTGGAACGTCTACGAATAATCGACATCTTTTCGTATTGTTTCAGCGGAGGTGATGCTACAACTCAGGAACAATCGCGAGCTGCTCGACGATTTGCTCGTCTCCATGCTGGTGCGTTGTAAACACCTAACGAGATTACAGTACGACGGTATAATAAGAAGTCTCGACACTTTGCGGGACATCTGTCAGCTTCAAGCTGAAAGCAAGACACGTAAGAATCCGAACACTTCTTCTCTCGTTCAACAAGACTTCAATCTCAACTTACCAATCTGACATTCCCCGCGAAACTTTACAAATCTTTCGCGTAAACGTATCCGAGCGAACAGACTGTTACAAAAGAAACAACGGAATACTGATGAAATTTTCAAAAAAAAAAAAATACAGGTTTTCGCACGATTCACGTGAAACCGCGTAACGTGAACGCCCGAAATCGAGCCATATTGAACGACATCAACTACAATTACGATCACAAGATGACGGAACAAGGAGTAGATTTTCGTATCGAGGATCCAGCCTCGGTTTTACTCTTCTACTAGAAAACACACACTTCTCAGCTGTCCACCCCGGTATCTGTCCCACTAGAATCTCTCGTTATTCCAGCCAGAGACGAGAAAAAGAAAAATAAATAAAACAATATCTGCTGCCCTGCATCTTGCTGCAATTTATTCTTTTTATCTTTTCTTTTTCATTGTACACAATTTATTTTGATAGCTCGGAATATTTGTCGTTTGTTAAACATTTTTGCAGGACGCGAAAAGACTTTTTTTTCTTAAATTCGCTCGATTTTCAGAGTGCGAAGAAATTGTTGTAGAAAAATTAAGAATAAATTCACAGTATCGTGAATGTATTTCTCTTCCCTTCTATTTATTTCACGAAATCGTTGACAAATCGTGAAAGTGTTCCCTTTCCTCTTTCATTAATTCCACGAAATCGTTGACAAATTGTGCATCGAACCACTGACAAGTCCTCTTCGGTAATAAATACGACGTGTATAAAAAAAACGTCTCGCAACAACAATTTATAAAAATACCTAAAAAGCCTTAAATGATAATTGAGAAATCGTTTCAACCGGTTACTATCCCTCGAGTTTACGAATTGCTCTCGTCGATCTCGCGAAGGAGTACAGTCTTCGAGTTTTCAATCAAGAGTAACGCACGATTATAAATAGTATACGTGTAAAAGAGTATAAAAAAACGTGTATAAAAATGTAGACGTCTGAAAATTGGTGTTAAATATATCACATTACACCATGAACGCTTGTTTTCTCCTTCTTCTATTGAAACTTCTTCCTAATTAATCGATTGCAAGTCCCTAAATTTCACGCTAATTGTATACTTCAGATCGTGCAACGTTCAGATTTCGAATAATATCAACATCAATTACTAAATTTCACTTACAATCGACCATTTTCTTCCTCTTCGAAGGAAGTATTCTACGACCTAAGTAGACTGTCGGCGAGGAAAATATTCCCCTGAAAATATCACCCACGAAATCTTTCACCTTGCACGACCACTAATCGTTACTTTCTACAATTTACAAAAGTAGCACAACACCTTTACAGGTGCAACAGAGTTTCGAACTGTTTGTTGCACCTTAATACTAGTATCAAGGACGGCTTAATGATCGCAGTGGTTGCAAACACGCCATTCGCTCTGCGCAACTAAAAACTGATCGTTCTAGAAACCAGGATGATTTTGCGGAAATACAATAACAGAAGGATCGACGTAACATCGAGATCATTTCTCAAAATGACACTCTTCCGTGAAATTAACCCCTTCGCTGCGGCAGAATTTAGTATGCGACGCGTGCGGAAGACGGTAGATGTTCAATTAATCATTTTTAAATTAAAACCCAGAAGTTGAATTTTGAAATTTATCAAACTTCAGATTTGGAAATTTATCGTTATAAAAATTAGGCTTAAATTGAGGTGAGAGTGTGCAAAACACAGCACAGTGCGAGCGAACGATTAAATCTTCAGTTTAAATTTCAATTAAACGATTGAAAAATTTAGCGTTTTGAAAAGCTGAAGTGGAAGCACGCGAAGAACAAGGGTTAAGGCCTAAGTTTAGGCGAAAGTGCGCCAAAAAACAGCACAATGCGAGTAAATTGTTAGATTCTAAATTAAAAAATGTATCGTTTCAAAAATTGAGATAAAAATACGCCAAGGACAAGAATCACGGCTTAAATTAAGGTGAAAATGTGGGAAAAAGCGCGAAACAACTCCTGCAGGATGGCGGCGGCAGCGAAAGGGTTAACATAATTCGCATTTTCACACTAATCTTAACATGCGGGAAAGTTTCACTCGATTCTTCTCGGTGGAAAAAAAAACAGATGAAAATATTTATAAATTATATAAAATAGTAGCACACGATATTCTCTTAATAGAACTTACGACACAAGCTGCCTTCTTTAAAGCAATCGATTTCGATGCTTCAGTGGTTAATCCACGCGTGGTGCATGGCGATTATATCTGTAAGGGTTGCCCTGATTCCACGAGGGTTTTGTAAAAGTACCTCAAGGGCCATAGCTTGCAACGAGGGTGTCTCAGTATTAAACGATCGAGCTTGATAGGTAGAAATAAGGAACAGCCGAAATTCCGATAGATAAAAGAGCTGCTCTTATCGACGGAAAATCTGACACAGTTCGAGAATTAAATTCACTAATTTTAACTATCGTCACGTTTCGTTCTTCTATTATTTCCTGTACAGTACTGAGATTTATTTTGAGCACGTACAAATGTATCACATTTTTATCCTCTCTCTATCTTGTTAATTCTGACACACCCGTTAAAATATTTCAAAAACCAGACATACCAATGTTAAGACTGAGACTATTCGAATTAATTTCGAATTGTGTAACTAAACTTTCCATGTTCAAATGTGAATAATACTTGCATAATTGTCAATCGTTAAATAGTAACACGTTTGCATCAACGCGAATGCAAAATTTAAATATAAAGGAAACTATAACGATCTAGGATTGTTAAATAAAATTATTGAGAAATTTTTTCAACGAAAACGAGTGGAACAACTGTAACATTAAATTACCCTCGTCTAAAAGCATTAACAATAAAAAATAATAGAACTACCGATCAGAAAATTTTCATTCGTAATTCAACGTTCAAATGCTCCACTAATTATTAATCATTCGAATTCAACTCAAACTACTCACAATTATATAGTAGCCATTGATAATAAAAAACGACAGAGCTACCAATCTGAAGATTTTCACTCATAATCCACGCATTTAAATCCTCTCACAATTCATCGGATCCTTGGAAGACTCAAATCAAACCACTCCCACCTAAACGACACTCGTCAAACGTTAACAATGAAAAACAACAGAACTGCCAATCGACAAATTTCCATTCACATCAAAATCCTCTCACACTTGATCGCTCGAATTCCCACGAACACCTCTAAAACTCGTCAGATCCTCGGAAGACCGAAGCCCATAAACATTCACCAAATAGTCCCAGTCTTACCTCGAGCATCAAATTCTCCGCTTCAGTCACACCGGAAGCCCCTATCATCGCCAGACATCTCCGTGTCCACCTGGCAACAATTTCCTGCTCAGCAGTCTCAACGGCAGGACTTCATGTGAGTGTTCAGAACGGTCCTGGTGACGAAACCCTTTCCGCAACGTGGACAAACGTACGGTCGTTCACCGGTATGGTAACGCTTGTGAACCACCAACGTGGACCTCTGCGTGAAAGCTTTGCCGCATTGCTCGCACGAGTACTTTCTCTCTCCTGTATGCGTGACGTTGTGAGTCCTGAGCAGTGTTTCACAAGCGAAACACTTGCCGCACACCTCGCAGGTGTACGGTTTCTCACCTGTGTGAGAACGATTGTGAATCTCGAGGCCCTTCGCGGTTTTCAGCTCTTTGCCGCACAGTGCGCACAAATATCGACGTCTCTCGTAGTTAGGCGTGTCACCGTGTGCCTTCACCTTGTGCTGCTTCAACACCGACTTGTACTTGTACACTTTACCGCAAACGTCGCATTTGTGCTCGGTATTGTTCTGCGCGTCCGCTTCCTCCGGCTTCTCCTGGACCAACGCGGCTGGATCGTAGTGATAGAGTCGGTTGTGCTCCTTTAAACTGTGTATCAGAGGGTAGATCGAGATGTGAGATTAGAGAGGAATTACCGTTCAATTGTTTCGAAGATTTGCTTTTAGGATTACCGAGTAGTCAAGTACCGAAATATTCGTCCAAGTTAATTAATTCGATCTTGAAATTTCACATCCTCGTCTGCGTTCGTTCGTTAACGAACGAAAGCTCTGCTCGTCAATTATTTATGAACGGCGGGGTATTCATTTAGAAACTAGGTCAAGAGCGACTAGTAAAACTTGCGGCATATCTGATGGTCAATTGCACCCAAAAGTGTGCGTGTATATAATTGTCCCGAATTTCAAACTAGCGTTAATGCAACGTGAAAAATGGAAAAAATCTCGGGAAAATTCACGTACGTGGAACGTGGTCGTTAAAGGGTTAAGGAAGGATTAATTAAGGTAGAAATTGTACCTGTACACGTCGTTGAAGGTACTACCGCACGCGTTGCACTGTTGATACTGCATAAAATTGTGCATGGTGGTGTGAGTCATGAGAGAATCCTTGTCGACGAAGTTCTCGCTGCAGATTTCGCAGGTGAACTTCACTTCCCTGTGGTGCCGTTTCGTGTGTCTCTCCACGTCGGTGGCGTTCACCCCCATGAAGCTGCACTTTGTGCAGGGAATGGTTTTCGGCGTGTGGGACTTCTTCACGTGAGCGTTTAGCATGAACTGCTGCGGGTAGGTTTTTCCACAGGTGACACACTTGAAAGGTCTATGGATGCCGTGGACGATCCTCAGGTGTGCCACTAACCTGGTTACGAAGTGAAACTTTTCTTGGCAAAGATCGCAGATCTTCTCGTTTCCTTCGAATCTGAAAAGTTTGGGTCAACGTCGACATTCCTTTCGATCGATTCTTGTGAAATATTCTATTCCTCTCTGGTTTTTAAGTATTATGTTTCTCTGTTATTAAGAAAATTTCATACTATGTAAATACATATTCTTTTCCTCCCTACTTCTCAAATATTATACTTCTCTTTTGCTAAGAAAATAGGTCAAAGTTTAAATCGACTAAAAAGTTTCCCATTACTTAAATTTCACTTAGATCTCTCATTTTTATTATTTACGCATTAAAGGGTAATACACCTGTCCCCCGATTTACACTGAAGACAGGTTCCTTAGAAAACCGTGTAAATCGAAATCATGGCTTTTTGTATGAAAAACCGTGTAAATCGGGGGAAAAACAAAATGCGCATAATTCAGTCAGTTATTTAATTAAATTCATTACACCTATCCCCCGATTTACACTGAAGTTAGGTTCCTTAGTAAACCGTGTAAATCGAAAACAAACTAAAATGTGCATAATTCAGTCATTTATTTCAACGTAAAATAAAACTAAATATATCTTAAAAAACATAAAAATAACGGTCTATTCATAAAATGATAAAAATATGAAGGTATATGTGTGTAATTCATTTTACACATAGAAACAAGAAGTATAAATTAAAAAATTTAACCAAAAATTTAATCACTTTCGTAGACTATTAATCTTTTATTCCTGGCTGGTATGATGTCACTTTCATCACTCGATAGCACTTGATGCGATTCAAGTTCGATGTTAGCGATTAACATCGATGCGATTAACAATTGTGTTTGGTTTCTGATCAAATCTTTATGGACCTCCTCCTATTGAAACCGTGTAAAAGTGAAATCGTGTAAATCGGGGGATAGGTGTATATTCATTTGAAAAACGTCATATACATTCTATTCACAGTGACAAACAGAGAAAAATGAATAAAAATTAATCAAACTCCAGGAATTAATAATCCGAATCGTACAAAGCGTACATAAAACTCACTTTTGCCCAGAATCGAGAAGGACGTCCTCACTCTTGAGCCTGAAATCTTCACAGGTGGAAAGCGCATCGTGATCGTTGCTCCAGTGGCTAGAACGAGGGAACCTTCATTGACAAAAATACACATTTACACAAAGCATCATGTATATACTTGGAACAATCAGTACAAACGATTAAAAGTACAAGCTTCCGATGCTTTTGTAAATGCGCTCAACTTAAACCCAACACATCCTCCACCATCCTCAATAAAATACAAAACTCTCAATCGTCATTCTTTTATTAAAAAAAAAAAAAAAGACAACACATCGTTTCACATATTTTCTCAATCACAACAGCTTCCCCGATCAAGCTTCCAGCTGAGTAGTTTTCTCGTGTATCTTGCGATGCTTCTTCAAGAAACTCCCGGAAACGAATCCTTTGCCGCAATCGGCGCACCGATAAGGTCTTTCTCCCGAATGATATCTCAGATGCAATATCAAAGACGTTCTTTGTGTGAATCGTCTGCCGCACTGCGAGCAACCGTACGGTTTCACGCCAGTGTGAACACGTCGATGAACGCTCAGATTTTCTCTGCTGGCGAACTGTTTATCGCATAAATCGCAATTCACGGTCTTTTCATTAACGTGACCCCGTCTGTGCACCATCAATCTCCTCCTCGAAGACAACACGGCACCGCACAGATCGCATAAGTGCTTCCTGTTCTCGTATAACCCGTGTCGCCGCTTCAGATGTCTCTCCAGGAACAATTTCTGCGCGAAACTTTCCACGCAAATCGTGCACACGTGCTTCTGTTTCGCGTTAGTTTTCGATTCAATCGGAAGAACACTCGCGTGTTGTCTTCTCAGATGGTTCGTCAAATTCTTCTTGTACGGATAAGATCTGTTGCAATGATCGCAGCGATACAACAGCTTCCTCGTGTGCACGTTCACGTGCTCCAAGTACTCCGTTCTGGAGAAGAAACCCTTGCAGCATTGTTCACACTTGAAGGAGTAATCCTTGGTGTGCCTCCGACGATGCGTCTCGAGATTGGACTTCTGGTTCGATCTGTAGTCGCAGAGATCGCAGGCGAACCTCTTCGAACCGGTGTGGATCAGCTTGTGACGAGCTATGTTCATAGGGCTTCTGAAGGTTTTGCCGCATTCGTCGCAGCTGAAGGCTCTGTCGATGCCGTGCAAGTTCTTCAGATGTTCCACGAGCTTTCTCGTGTGACAGAAACAGGCTCCGCATTTAACACACTCGTGCACCGCTCGTGAAGTTGCTCTTCGTGACCTGAAACAGACGCCCTGATGAAGCAGATGCTACGATTTTAGGAGATAAATGGATACGCATGGTTGTTTTAGTACTTATTTCAATTGTGTTAAATAGTTTTCGCCTTCTGGTAAATTTTTCTTATTACTTTTTTCTCACATACCTACCCTGACGTCTGACGATGCATGATTTCTCAATGAACGCGATGGAATTTTAGTGAAAACATTTCTCTTTCCGTGGAAAATGATGGGATTTTTAATATGAAGTTTTTGTGATGCGAGAATAAATTAGACTGGATATTTGTGTTACCTTTTTCAACTGGTTTATAACCAATTATTAAATGTACACAAAACTTGATATTGCCTCTTACAAAAGTTTTCGTAACATGTATCATACATGTATTTCATTTTTTCCATTGAGAATAATTACAGTTTGACTACAAATTTCGCAATGTTCATAATTTCTGTACAAAATTGTTAAAACTACTTGTCGTTTGCCCGCAATAAATATAACACTAATATTCCGAAGAAAGAGTATCGTTTTAACGTATAATCGTAATTAAAGCCTGCCTTGGAAATGCTGTTAAAAATTACACTACATGAAGAAAACAACGGTTGGCAATAATCTTCTTCAAAATTACACAATTTACAAGCTCTCCGTCGAAGATCCTTTTGGTACGAAATCTCATTCTATGTTCACCTCTATACAATTCTCAGCAAACGCAACAATCTATACCGTCTGAAGCTTCCAACCTCTCTAACAAAGATTTCTCGCTAACACATTAACAGCACAGTTAAAAATCAACAATATATAACAAACAATAAATTCCTCCTCACTCTATCAATTTTTACAAAAAAACTAACATCAACAGTCTCTTTAAAAAAACGAACATTTTCAGAAGCCTCAAACAGTACAAACTCGAAGAACCTCAAGCGTGTCCAACCCGCAGCCCGCGGGCAACATGCGACTCCTAAACTTTATTACCTAATTTTCAGCGAAATTTTTCACGACTCGAGAAAATTAAAAAAGAAAATAAAGAAAGTTAGCTATATTACATATTTCGCACACGGCCAAAGACGATTCCTCTTCATTCACTGTCGCCCAAGCGAGCCAAAAGGTCGGACACCCATAGTCCAGAATCTCTCAATTGTCTCAACACGCAAAATTCACTTCAACTAATTCTTCTTCTCCGTCATCGATTCAGTCAACCCCCGAGTAAACTCCGCGATGAGCTTCTTAATGGAGATCACCGGAAGCGGCGGCAGAGGTCCAGGATGTCTCTTTCTGTGACAAATCAGCCCAGGTTTCTGGGCAAAAGTCTGCCCACAGATATCACAAGTATAAGGTCTCTGGCCTGTGTGTATCAGTATGTGCTGTTCCTGAGCTGTTCTCCTCGGGAACTTCTTGCCGCAAACCGGACAAGAGAACGGTCTGATGCCTTCGTGTATCCTCAGATGAAGGTCCAGATCCCTCTTTTGCCCGAAAGTCTTGCCGCAAGTCGGACACACAACCTTCTCTTTTCTCTTGTGCCAAAGCATGTGCTGTTCCAGGTTGTTCTCGGTGGTCATGCAACGTTTGCACAAACTGCACTTGTAGGCAGGCTTGTAGTGTCTGTACTTCATGTGAGCTTTCAGAGAAGGCACGCTCTTGCAAGCGTGGCCGCAAACTGTGCAGATAATTGGCGGCGCGTTGCTGTGCATCTGTTTCGTGTGCTGCATCAGGTCGTTCTTGATCTTGAACTGTTTCCCGCAAATCGTGCAGGAATAAGCGAAACTGCTCGTGTGTTTCCTTATGAAATGGTCTTTCAACGTCCATCTGTTGTTGCTCTTGTACTCGCAGATCGTGCAAGGATACAGTACAGGACCGTGAATTTGTTCCGAGTGTTGCTTCAAGTCTTTTCTCAGTCGGAAAGTTTGCTCGCAAGATTTGCAACGATGTCTGTGCTGTCTCATGTGCGACGCCAGGAACGACTTCCGGTTGAACTGCTTGCCGCAGAAGTCGCATTCCAACAGCTGATCCGTTTGTTTCTTTGGTTTCTTCGTTTTTGAGATTCGCGAAGTTTCTGTGGAGTGGTCTTTTTTTAGTGGTTTTCTGGTCTTCTCTCCGAGTGGTTTTCGTTCTTTCTTCACTAGGGAGTATGAGTTCTCTATTTTGATGCTGCAAGGCTCTTCCTGGGGGCCCGTGTCGCTGCCGTTTAACGGATCCAACAGCGGAGAGCTAAAACAGACGAAAGTTTGTTCTCGTTAAGCTTCGGTATCCGCAGAACCTTGCTGAAAATTACTTCTATATGGTGAACTTACTTACTTGAAGTATGCTTTAACAGATGAACGTTTCACGATCGTTTAGAAATACTTTTGGATTAGGGGAGAGATTATTGAGCAGTGTGAGCGTTATAGTATTCACGTTGATGAAACGTTTGTCGTATATTTTGGTATTCGTTTAACGTGGTTAATTTGCAATTCATAATTATTGCGTTGAAATGTATTTAATTTTTTCGCTGTTCGATGTGATTGTTAAATTATCGTGGGATAGGAAAATCCTCCAACATATTTTTAGTGGAATTTAGGAGTGTTAAATTCCAGGAAGATTGCAGTGACAATACTGGTCAATCTGGATTTTTATATTATTCTATTAATGCTTAAAAAATAGGAATTGATAATTTTTTCGTACTTACTCTTCTTCTCTACCTTGGTCGAGGTAGAATAATTTTACAACGAAAATACGATTAAGTTTATACAAAAATTCTCGTACCGGTTACAACTTATAAATTATTTTCAACTATGATTTTATTAAAAAGTTCACGATACAGTAAAAAATACAAACAACATTCGTAAAAGACATTTGAAAATTCATGCGATAAAGAAACTACAGTGGCAACAGTACCGTTAAAATTCTTAAGAAGTCTTACAAAAACGTATTTGTTCTCGGTAGAAAATAGCCCTTCGAAAATCGACGGTAAAAAGAGTATACAAAAATTAGTCGAAGACTCGATTCAAAAATTACGTTTATATATCATGCTTGACCTATATTCCATCGATAAATTTGCAAACACTTCATTTTACATTCGTGATTCCTCTTAAAAAGAAAAAAAAAAGAAAACGATTAATCTTTGTACACCAAAATTGTACAAACTCTCCATTTACTCGGCAACATCCGACGATCGAACAGTTCAAATGTATAAAAAGGCTGAATTACATTCGGTCAACATCTAAATAATATTCATTTAACGAAAAACAAATATCCTTCGAGATCTTCCAACATACCCTAAAGCTCGTAAGTATTTTCACACTCATCTGTTCTTTATTCCCATAAACAACTTCATTTAGCCAATTTCCAAGGAAGAAATGAATAATTAAACACAAGAAAAACCAAGTCCATCGAAATGATAAATTTCAAATTTCCTCCTTTAAATTACAAAAATTAGTAAAATGCTTTTTTCCAAGTATACGGTCGACTTTTCTCAACATAAAGTCTATTTATTTCCAGATTTTTTACATAGTAAACGTAAAAACACCAGAAGAGAAAAAATGAATTATTCAAAAAATAAAAAATCAGCATTCGTTTGAAACACTTATCGAATCTTTAAATAAAGAGAGAGAGAGAGGACAAATATTTCCGAGCAGTAGTATATGTCAATAATTCCACCGCCCTCCGTCTCACTCACAGCCTTTCTTTACATCAATACCCAAACCACAAACCGCCTCATTCGATCTTAATCATCGTGTTCTTCATAGTATACTCCTTCGTGAACTCAGTGACGATGTTCTTGATGGAAACGACAGGCAACGGTGGCAGCGGTCCAGGATGTCGCTTTCTGTGACAGATCAGTCCAGGTTTCTGCGCGAACGCCTGTCCACAAATGTCGCAAACGTACGGTCTCTTCCCCGTGTGAATAAGTACGTGCTGTTCCTGAGCAGTCTGCCTCCTGAACGATTTCCCGCAAACGGGACAAGGAAAAGGCTTGACCCCGGTGTGCACTCTCATGTGAGAATCGAGATCTCGTCCTCGGAACCTCTTCCCGCAGGTCGGGCACAAAACCTTCTCCCTAGTCTCGTGCCACGTTAGATGTTGCTCTAAATTCTCCTGCGTGGTCATTCCTCTCCTGCAAATTCGACAGATGAACTCAGGCTTGTAGTGTCTGTACTTCATATGCGCCTTCAGAGCGTGCAGATTTTTGCTGAAATGACCGCAAACGTCGCACACTATAGGCGGCGCGTCGCTGTGGTTCTGTTTCACGTGATGGTTCAAGGCTTTCTTGATTTTGAACTGTTTCCCGCAAGTGTCGCAGGCGAAGTTGTAGTTGGAGGTATGAAGACGGATGTAGTGATTTTTCAAAGTGCCTTTGTTGTTGCTCTTGTACTCGCAGACGCTGCAATCGTAGACTTGACGCCGGTGAATCTTGTCCACGTGAGAGGCTAGGTATCGACGAAGTCTGAAGGTTTTCGGACAGTCGGAACACTTGTGACGATGCTTCTTCAAGTGCTCGGCCAGATTGCTCTTCTTGAGAAACTTGCGTCGACAATGGTCGCACTCTAAACGGGTCGTTACGCTTCTCTTCTTGGACTGCTGCCGATCGGGACTGCCCGGAAGAGGCAATCTCGCCTCGGTTCCCTCGAGATTCTCCACGTTGTTCTCTTCTTGACACACGGCCACCAGCTCGAAGTTCTCCTTGTCGATCCAACTTTCGTATCCCTCGGGGAACTCGATCGACAAGGTGGGATGCGCGTCGGTTTTGAACGCCTCGCAGAGAGGATCCAGGATTCTAAAACAGAAAATGTGACGGGTGTTACGAGACGTGTTGTCGTCGATCGTTCTCGAGTTCGAGGAAGGTTCAAATCAGTTTCACTCGTTATCGTCGAAATTCTGTCTTTTTTTCTTCGAAGTAGCTTTAGATTATTGCGCTTACGTTCGGTTCGTTTACCACCTCTATCGACCACTTATACCTAAACGCGATTTGATTCGTCATACCTTCTCGTTCTTCTAAACGATCCGTAATAGTTGCAGCCTGGAAACGTACAAGATTAATCGATTATTACCTGTTCAAACGCGATCGTTTAATACATCAAGTATACTTATCTTGGGGTAAATAAACTAACAACGTTCTCGTCTTCTCGCGACGCCGAGAGAGATTTACTATCAAAGAGAAACAGCTATTTTTCGTACTCGTTGCAAACTGAACAAAGGTAAGGGATTGTTTCTTTCGTTCCTTTATTTCCATCGACATCGTGTGTATACGTTAAAACCGGGGGGATAGTTGAAGAGATCAGGCTCAGTAAAAATATTTATTTCAAACTCAAAGCTATACACAGCGTGTACGTCTCCTTACGAACGTATTAGACTAAGGTATTGATTCTTAGAAAAATAGCCGCCGTAGGCGTGCTTTCTGCCGCGTGAGCTTCAACTCCTTTTCTCTCGCGGATTTACACTTAATCCCTTGGAAAAAATCACTAGCAACGTGGTCGGGAGAGAGGAGGAGGAGGAGGAGGAGGAGGAGGAGGAGGGAACGTGTTATCGCGTCCACACACGGAGAAAACTGGGGGATGGATGAGGGAGGAGGAGGAGGGACAACGTTTTACGTTATGTTACAGTTACTCTTAGGAGGACTAGCTCTCGCAAAATAGAACAAGTGTCATCGAGACATATCACAACGTGTACGTATCAACGGGGTTTCGCGAATGAGACGCGAATTAAGAATCGATATACGGTGGAAAAAATCTGTTTCCTCCATGTTCGCCAAGTTTCGAAATTTTCATTTCCAGATTTTGCTTCTCTTTTTTTTTCCTCCCGATTAAGATAGCGTTCTGTACTGAAATAAAGCGTGTCAAGTTGATCGCAGCTTCGAGATAGAGAACGAGTGAGTTGTTCGCTTTACTGTTTTATTTTAATCGAGTATCAAGGACTGTGGTCGGAATTTTAACGCGTTCATTTTTCTTGTATTATTCAATTGTCATCTTTATATCGAGTACAGGTTTTTCTTCTTTCTCTGTTTTGTTGTTACGTATGATAATATTAGTTACAATTCTCGTCGACGATGAAATACCGAATTAAATTAACATTGGGAAGAAACTGGCTTCTATAGAATTTGCAGGTGAACTGAAAGGAACATTGAAACAAAGGGATCCTGTTAAATTCTTCTTCTTGCATTTTCTTTCTTTTTTCCTCCTTCTTCGCGTAAATTCTCAAATTTACAAGGCTGTTCTCGTTATTACTATACATCTTACATCGCTATACTTACAATTACACGCGATAAGTCTAAAAATAATCATCGCTCGCTATAGTTCTCTTCAACCCCTTGAATCTTGATGACGGTATACAAAGTACTTCGGGAATTCTATTGTTTGCGTTCTTTTTTCCCGTAGAGTCGTCGAGTTGGCTGTCTCAGCTGAACAATGAGGATGAGGAAATAAATTGCTCTTACTCGTTGTTGAAGCATACATTCGTCCACGTACCGTGTTATCTCCCCTACGTAACTTATACAAAGAATTTTTTGTATCGTTAGCAATATTGTCATTTAGAGATATTTAATAATACGTACATATATACTAATAGGTACATTTGTAAAATGTGAGCAAAATTTTTGTTTCTTTTTTACAAACAAGAGTACCTGGATGTTAATGTCGTTGAAAAAATTTTCCTACGTCTCTCTCTCTCTCTCTCTATAAATTGTTAGAACAATAATTACTACAGGACGATTCAACAACGACGTCCAACAAATTCACACGGAAATGGAATATTTACCAAAAAAAGAATTAACACCTCGTCGCTGAAATTAGTTGTACATTGGTAAATTGTTCGCCGTCGTTACCGAATCATCCACTAAAAAATAACGTAACAACGAAAGAAATTCCCCTAAAACATGTACATCCTTCTCATCGATCTATTCTTCAACGACGAGCAGACGCAAAGAGAAAATTGGTCGCAAGTTCATCTCACACATACGCGCGCTTTCTTCCCTACGATCAAATTCCATCTATCTAACCGATTTTCGTCCACCGAAATTCTCCCTCGTCGATATGCGGATTAATTCGAACAGCCCCCCCGATCGGTGGATAATTACAAACTTCATCTCTACATTTTCTTCCGTGAAATTCGCTTAAGTATCAAAGTGTGTCGTCGTGTCGTCGGAGACGCGGTTCGATCCGTCGAGGGCACGATGTCTCCTCTACGCTTCCTCCTCGATCGTGTCCTCGTTCTCGCGCGCGTTCATCTCCTGAACGAATCCCTCGGTGAACTCCTTCACGATATCGGCGATCGGCATCACGGGCAACGGCGGATGCGGCCCTGGATGAGTTTTCCTGTGACAGATCAATCCCGGCTTCTGCGTGAACGCTTTGCCGCATATGTCGCATACGAAAGGCCTCTTTCCGGTGTGGATGAGCAAGTGTTGACGCAACTGGGACCTCCTGGCGAACGGCTTGTTGCAGATCAGACAGGAATGTGGCTTGCAACCCGTGTGCACCGCCATGTGCCTCTTGAACGAGTCCTTTTTCGTGAAGGTTTTCCCGCATTCCGCGCACACGATCTTCTCCCTCTTCTCGTGCTGCGTCAGCAAGTGCTGGTCAAGGTTCTCCTGCGTGACCATGCGCCTCTTGCATATGTGGCACTCGTATTTAGGTTTATAGTGCGCCCACTTTTGGTGCACGTACAACGAGCCGCTGTTCTGACACAGTTTCCCGCACACGTCGCAGTTGATCGGTTTCTCTTTGTGATGAAACCGTACGTGGTTGGTCAGGTCGCCTTTCACCTTGAACTTCTTCGGGCAGAACTTGCACTGATGCTCGTACCGATCGGTGTGCTTTCGGATGAAGTGCGACTGCAACGAATGCTTCGATCTGCAAACGAATCCGCACGCGGCGCAAGGGAAGAGCATGTTGTTCGGTCGTTTCCTCGACCAAGTCTCGTGTTTCCTTTCCAAATGCGCCGCAAACAGACTCTTCTTCAACGTTCTGTAGTCGCAGACAGCGCAGATGTACGCGCCGTCTTCCTGTATGCAGACTTTCTTCTTGTGCGTCCACGCTACGTGTTTCCTGAACGAGATCGCCGAGCTGAACATCTCCGAGCAAACTTTGCACTTCAGAGCACCGCCTGAGTTTCTCGAGACCTTTCTACGAGTCTTCGTCGGGGTTGGATGATTATTCGTAGACTCCAAGATCTCTTCTTCCAAGTATTCCACCTGTTCCACCTGATCTTGATCTCCTTGATCTTCCTGGTCCACTTGTTCCAATTGCTCTTGGTCATTGTACACTTCTTGCTCTTCTTCTTTCCCTTCTGCCTCGTTCGACGTTAGCTTCTCTATGGTCACCATGCTACCTTCAACTTTCACTTGATACAGATCTCCGATGGACTTGTCGTTTTCACTCTCGATCGTGCCGTTCAAGATGATCGGTTTCACGTCTCCGTCTTCGCCCCTCTGCTCGGAACTTCCGTTCAGAAAATGCTCCTCTTCGTACAGCTTCTCGTCCGTCGAGTCGTACTGAAGCTCCTCCTCGTTGTAGAGGCACTCGACTTTCACGAGGTCCTGGTGCTTCTCTTCGTCGTTTCCCGGCTCCTCGATCTGCTCCGGTATGTCCTCCTCGGCCATCGGTGTGTCGCCTTCAGGTACGAACGCGTAGTAAGGCTTCCCGTCGAACTCCAAGATCTGCCATTTCTTCATCACCACCGACTCCTTATCGTAGATAAATATACCGCGAGAGTTGAGGCTGGAGAGCTCGTACCTGAAACATCATCGATCAACAGCGTTATTATGAGGCTACGTGGACGCTTCGTTGGTCTGAAAGCTTTCAAGCGATTTTTGGTTGTTTTTCTTTTTTTTTTGTTTTTATCGCACACGTGCCGTGATGATTGATTTTTTTTTTTTTTTTTTTGGCAAAACGTTGTTACGCGGTTGTTCGGTCGCGAGATAGAAGAATAGTTAGCGTAAATAGTTACTGTGAAAAGATACGAGGCGATTAATAGAGGAAAGGTTGTTACAGCTTGGCTCAAAGAAGACTACTTGGAGATTAGTTTCTGTGAAGAATGCTCGAGAGTGAGAGAGATTAAGGTGAAGCAGAGTACATGTAAGAGTGTGCCTCTATAACACGTGAATCGAACATCATTCGTCGTTGGTAGGGAAAATAATGCTTTATTTCGAGCAGGCGGAGGAAACGTTACAAATATTTTTCACGACGTATGAAAGTACAATCAAGAGATCGTCACGGTTAGTGTACAACAATACTGTAGTTATTAGGTACACGTTGAACTTTGTGGAAAGTTGAGATTAACAGCTTAAACGTAGTACACAATTCTTTCTCTTGTTGTTTTTTTTTTTTTTTTTTAATATCTAACACAGTCGACGTTAAAAATCTTATAACAGGTAGAAACTTGGCAACAAACTTGAATAAACTTCTCGTCGAGAACTAAACAAAATTGCTAAACATTTCAATTCTCTTTCAGATTTTAACATGTAACTCGTCCAGACAGTGTCTTCGTGAATTTCTTCGACGTCTCGTAATTCGTATTACGACAATTTAAAAACGATAAATCTCTCTTAAATCTAACACACAGCTCCATCGTATAACACAGTGTCCGTCACTTCTTCATGAACTCCTTCAGTATATGATCGATATGCATGACAGGAAGAGGCGGTAACGTTCCAGAGTGTATCTTTCTGTGACAGATCAGCCCAGCCTTCTGAGCGAACGATTTCCCACACACGTCGCAAACGTAGATCCTCTCTCCGGTATGCAACAGCAAGTGTTGGCTCAAACTGCTGTGCGTGGTGAACGCCCTCGCGCAAACAGAACAACTGTAAGGTTTGTCTCCTGTGTGTATCCTCATGTGTTTCCTGAAATCGTGATTCTCGAAGAAGGTCTTTCCACACTCCTCGCAGACAGACTTCTCCTTCTTCTCGTGTTGCGTCAATACGTGCTGATCTAGGTTCTCTTTGGTTACCAATCTTCTATGACACACGGGACACTCGTACTTCGCTTTGTAATGAGCGTGTTTCTGATGAGTGTACAGGCTATGACTGTTTCTACAAGTTTTCCCACAAACGTCACACATCACAGGCGGTTCTCGATGATTCAATCTCGTGTGTGTCGTTAGATCACCTTTGATCTTGAACTCCTTACCGCAGTGTTCGCAGGAGAACTCGTAATGCTGCGTGTGTTTGCGTACGAAATGAGACCTCAGGGTTTCCTTTCTCGAGCAAATCAGGCCACAGATGATACAGGCGAATTTTCTTTTACTGGTGAACGTGCTCTTGCCGGAGCCTTCGTGAGTTTGGGCTAGATGGGCGATCATGGTGGATCTTTTGTTGCAGCGGAAGTCGCAGGCCATGCAAGAGAGAGCTTCTTGCTTCTGGGAGACCATTTCCATGAAGGAAGAGTCTTTCGGGGACAGTTCCTTCTTCTCGCGATTCTCGTGCGCCAGTCTGTGTCTCTTCAGCAGGTATCTCTTCTTGAATTGTCTTTGACAGACGTCACAGGCGGGTAGAATTTTCGATTCGGTCTTCTTTTGCGGTGGTTTCGTTTCTTCGACGGTTTTCGACGGTTCTGGAGTTGAGTTGGAGATCGTCGGAGGTTTAGCTGGTCCGTTCCTAAAACAGGAAAAGGATTAACTTTTATTAGGGTTCTAACAGAGGTGGTGATTACTATCGATGATTACTTACAGTGAAAGTTAAAAGTCACGATGAGTGTTTGGCGTGAAAAGAGTAAAACTATCACGTTTTGTTTGTTAGCGTGATCGAGTGATAATAGTTGGTGAAATTTTTATTCTTTTGGGGAGTGAATGAGAACGATGGTTGATAGTTTTATTCTGTACGATAAAGAAATGGTACAAATAATAGATTATCGATGGACGATATATTGTTAACAAAATATAATTCTGCTTGTTAATTAATTTTGCAAGTGTTGCAATGATTAAAAATATAGCTGAGAATCCATAAGAAGTCGACGAATGAGATTTTCAAGAAAAACTGAATTCGAAGTTGTTTCAATCTTTTTTTTTATCGACAAAATTCATAACAATTTTTTTTTCTTTTTTCAAATTTTTAATTGGAAACGTTTTAACAAAAAGTTTGCTCGACCGCTTGTTCGGTATCTTCGAAAGACAATTACGCAATGTATTTTTAACTGTATCATCGATGGTGTAATCAAGTGGCAAAAACCCATAATAGAGGCAATCATTTCTCTTTATGGCACTCCAAGGATGCACAATTATTGATTAACTGTTAGAGATGAACTTGCCTTCTCGAAATAGTTGTACTGAATTCCCTGAAACATAAAATTATAAATATGATTAAATTAAAAATTAAAACTTATTCGAGAAAACAACTATGTAACTTTCAAATTTTTTTACGTAATTATCCTACAAATATTTATCTACTTTGTTAATTCTAGTCTCTAAAATATTCGTAATAAATTTGAACGTAATACTTATCTGCAATTTAACAAACTTCGTTTTAATAAAAAAAAGGACGAATTACTTCACACTTTCCACTTTCACTAATTAAGTTCGTTCATATTCATGCAGAAATTATGCTCGCTCACTAATTCACTGTATAAAAAAATCATTGAATTTAAAGAGAGAAAGTAAGAGCGCAACAGGCATAAAAATTACTCTAATCTATCTTCCAGCGAAATGAACTAAAAAAAAAAAACTTTCAATCACTTTCTACTGTATTACACAAATAAGTATATCACGAGGGGGGTAGCATTGCCAAACCATGCTCTTTTATTTTAAACAATCATCGACAATCGAGAAGCTTTGGACGATGTATGTGAAAAGTATAAATCTGCCACGAGATTGTGCTCAAAATAAATTCTTATAATCTCCTCTTGTATACAATATATTTCACAATAGGTCTTAAATCTCGCTATCATCTGTTCCCC